CAGCCAGAAGCAAAGGCAGAATTATTAACTCAGTTCCTTCACCTCTAGGGTCTGCCTCAGACATTGCCTGTCCTCTTTAGATTTTTTTTAATTTAAAGTTTATTATAAAGAAATCCTAAATAAGAAAGATAACATAACATACAGAAGTTATCCAGAGCTGTGGTGCATAAAAATGCATTTGATAGTGTAAATGCAAAGTCCAAGGTAAAACCTCAGAATGGGTGTTTAACTGTTTAGAAACTCCTTGAGATGTAAAGAACTGACATGAATAAGAGTCTACATTACAAATTACAGATGCATCTGTCCAAAACTATTAATGCTGTATTCTTCTTGGAATTTTTTTTGCGTGTAAATTTTCCCATAACTTTTAGAATCCTCTGTAAAGTGTGTATGGAAATAGCTTGTATTTTAGGAACAGTGGCTGTGAGAAGCCCGAAGAGTATCAGGCTTCATGGCATTTCTTGATTTAGGTTTTGGGTTTGCTTCTGGTACAAGGCTTGACTGCCTTGGAGAGGAGATGTGAGATATGATGACATGGGTCGAGGCAGTGGTGCTGGGCTCCTTGAGCTCCTGGGTAGCTGATGTCTATGCAGGGATAGGCATTAATATCTCCTGCTGTTTGTAGCTCACGTCACTGGACCCTGGCCTGGTGCTGCATGAAGAAAGTGAAGTGCTATCAGATAAAGTGGATCAATTGTCCTCTTGCCAAGTCTTGTGTCTCACGTGTCTCTCTCCTTATCATATTCTATTGGCAAGTTATTTAGCTTGTGCCTCAACAGGGCTCAGCTGCTATACAATGCTGTAGCCATCTTTTTTTCCCTGTCATGTGGAGTGGAGAATAGTATTTGATACAGGAAACTAGTCTTTATCCAAATGTTCTCCCCTTTCTAATTTGAAGGTCAAGCAGTGATGGGATCGATACTACTTTCTACTTGGGATTTTGATCTTAAATGCATGGCTTTCCTCCTTAAGCTCTCCCGTGGTTTTATTCCTTCGTATTGATCCTGATTCACTTTGGTAACATATTACATCAGAGAGTTTTATGGTGAATCACAATAGAGATAATTCTTGTTTGGGAAAAATGCAATTGGGATTTTTTTTTCTATGTGTCCTCGTGGGCTACAGTACATCACCTTCATTTCATGTTTTTAAAAACAAGGAGTAGAATATTCCTCTGACTCAAAAGTTTTATTCAGCAACTTTTAAAAAGCTATTCACATTTGCAATGCTTAAGAATAAGCAGAGGTGATGCTCTTTTATGTAGAAAAATGTTAGTTTCAGTATTATTGTGGTTTATATTAGAATTCTTATTTTCTTAACATGGTAATTTTAAAGTTTAATTTGTTTGCAAATTTATATATACACACACACACACACACACACTTCACAAATATATAAAACTTCCCTGCCACCTTTATACCATATCTTCCTTCCTCTGCACAAATCTGTCTCTTGTATTCATTTCTGCTCCTTTTGATTGTGGCCCACCAGGATTAACCAGCCCCCTTTGAGTGACTGTGGCTTTGGAGCTATTGTTTGGAGTCTTCGAGCAGTGGACTTCTCTTGCAGAGTCTGTGCGTGGCCACCGTTGAGAGGGGAGGCAGGCCCTGGATATCGTCTGTTCCTTACTGTGGTTACAGGCCACTCTCACAGTTTTTCTTTGATCCCAAATCACAAATTATTATTTCGTAACAGACTTCCTGGTGCTTTTAAAAATCACTGGATAATTATCAAAGAGTTAGCTTTTACTGTACTCCAGATGGATGATTTATGTTTCATACTGAACTGAAAAATAATCTAACGTAGATAGAAATGACCATTTTTAAATCATGGTGGTTACTTTTGATAATTATGGCAGTAGCTTCCTTATATATGAAAAGTACTGTTCCTAACTGTGAAAGGTATTTTTTTCTAGTTATAATAAGTACTGTTTTAAACTATGGGGAAATTCCTAATAATTCCAGAAGATACTATTCCTAATTATGAAAGAGGCTATTCATACTTATGGAAACACTATTTCCAATATATAAATGTGTGTGTGTGTTATAATACCACATGAAGATGCCTTAAATTATGGTATACTATTGTCCTTGGTGCAAATAATGTTGAGCACAGAAATTATGTGATAAATCAGTTTCAAGATTTTAATCATAGAGAACTGAAGTCCAATATATTATCTGGTATTTTCATCCAAGAACCTCAGTTTGATAGAAACTCTGTCCTCCCAGAGGTTAGCACTCAAGACTCTCCAATGTGGGGGTCTGCCTGCTTTCGTCATGAATTTAAACCTGTTGCTTCTTTCTGGCTGGGTTGATGGGGGCTTCACACTTTTAACTTAGGTTTCAGCTATCTCATAACTAGACACGAAAATTCACACAGATTCTCACCTCCACATATTCTTTTGACTGTATTTTAATTTTGCAATTAGCTAAAATTGTTAAGATCTTACTGTTAGAAACAATATTCTGAATTCTCACTATAAAGCACTATAAATTGAGGCTATACTCATTTATCGCCTTAAATGTGTAATAAACCTGCAGCATTCATGTCACACCATCATGTAGGAGTTGGGCAGATGCACACAGCAGTTCAGACTGACTTTTTGTCCTGTATCTAAGTGTCGACAGTTCAGTTACATGGTAGTACTGGAAAGATTTTCCAGAATGTTCTCTCCTGTTTTCAGTATCTACTGTGATACCACATGCTCAAAACATTGTAGCTCATTTTTATTTTCAATATTATATAGAGGTAACAAAGAGACATATGTCAAATAATAGCACCAAATCATATTGATACCTATAACATAAAGTTATATACTTCATATAGTCTTAACAATAAAAACTTAAATCCTTTATTTAAGACTAATTTTTTGAGACTCTAAAGTTTCAACGGTAAAAATGAAAGGAGATATGCATCAAATTCCTACTTAATCTGTGGTCAAGGAATGGAATTGTGATATTTATATATATTTTAAAGGAATTGGGTGTTTACTTTTGTAATCTTTAAGCTTTTGAAATTTGTATGTTTTATATTAATCTGCTATTAAAGTAGTAAACATGACTATATTTCATTGTATCTCTGACTTTGATGATACCTTTATGTTCCTATGTGGATTCTGAGTTTTGCTGACACAATGCTGGGGACATTGAGTAACAGGAAATGATCATTTACCGAATTTAAAAAAAGAGAGCGAGAGAACCTCCCTCTTCTATGAAATATTTTTATATGGCTACTTTTTTGTTCTTCTGCTGACCTTCCCTCATCCTTAAGAAACCGTGGAAATTTTATGATAACATTACAAGAACTGAAGACCGAAACCAAACGAAGTTGGAAGCCCTTCAGCTTGGCAAGTTGACATGCTGTTTTTGTATTTATGTCTTTCAACTTTAACACCGACAATTTATTGAGTGAGACTCTACGCCAGAGCGGAAGCCGCAAATCCTGTTTGGACACCGTTGAGGAAGGAAGCTGGGACTTTATGGGACACCCCCTTCCTCTCAGCCACTGACCAGGAAAACCATCTTTCTGTATGAAAGCTATTCAATCTGAGAGGTGGGGCGCTTTGGGAAGGAAGATGACCTCTCCCTTGTAAAGTGGAATTGCTGTTTCCCCGCCGTGACTTACTCAACTCATTTCCACCAGTGTTTATAAGAACACTTGTGTGAATGACTGCAGTGACAGCAATAGTCATTTAAAATATGGCTCAGATTCCCGGCCTTCCAATTTTCCAAGTTCTTTGAATCATCAGGCGTCGCAGTCACAAGGAGCCCAGGTTGTGCTGAGGCTCTTTAGAGTGGAGCATGCTTCCTAAATTCCAGAAGTTTCATCACCATCCACCATGGCTGTGTAGGACAAGCAGGGCTGCTGCTCTCAATGTCAAGACAGAACAAAGAATTCCATAGCTAGCATGCTTTCAAGGGAGCCCAGGGCTTTCTGAACTGCAGAGGGAGGCTGGTGCCTGCTGAGAAGGCAGGTTCCTGCTTGCTGGGAACTGCAGGCAGGTAGCATAGGGAGAGGAAGTGCCCTGAAGTCTGGCAGGGAAGTCACAGGGTCTTGGTCCTGTCAAAGACATGGATGTGTAGGCATGTTGTATATCTTGAATGATTTGGGATCTTGATTCCAATTTCAGGTAGGTTTTGATTTACTTAATATTAATTTGGGGGGCACCAGTAAACCATTGATAGCTTCATAATAAAAATGTGTTCCTTTATTCATTTTCTTATGTTTTTTTAATCATTTTGGTAATAATTTTATAACTAAATTGAGACTGCTAAGAAAAGAGAGCTCTCCATTTTCTTCCTACATTAGCTCCTTGCATTACTACATTGATTTGCCAGCATGAAAACATCACTAATAGTTGTATGTTATGAATAAGTAAACTTGCGTCTCAATTGGATTTCATCTGGTTTTTCAATAATATATATTTTTCTTTCCCAGGGCCCAGTTCATGGTACCATATACTTCTAACCATCATATAGCCCTAGTCATTTCGAAGTCATAACAGTTTCTTATTCTGTCACTTTTTCCCCGTGATCTTGACAATGTTTAGGACTATTGGCCAGAAATTATGGAGAGTGTTCATCGTATTTGAGGATGTGGGAAATGTAAACTTTAGAATTTGGGAACAAAAAATAACTTCCTGTCACCTTGTCATAATCTGTACCACACACAGCACGTTGAGCCAATGGTCGTTACTTTACCTTGCTGTCTATTGCAATGCCACTCTAGAATTAAAAGTTGGCTCATCTTTCATTTATTTCCTACCTAATATTTGTTTCATCTGTAATCATATGATGGTAAAATGAGATCACTATATAAACTTTAGGTAAATTACCCAATCATGCTAATACATTCAAAATGAGTTGTAAAATACATTTTTATAGAGGGCAAAAAAATTAAATACATTCTCAACTTAGTCAAAGTTAGTTTTGATTTTTTTTTCCATTGAAAACATGAAGAACATTGGCACTAACATGTACTTTGTCTTTTCTTCCTAACAGATTAGAGATGGACAACCAAACTGTTACGTGTTGAAGAATAAAGATTTGGAACAGGCTTTTAAAGGGCTTATTTACTTAGAGATGGACCTCATATATAATCCAGTAAGTGCCCTCAGGATGTGCTCCCCACCCCAGCTTTTCAATACGGAAAACAGATGATGTTCAGGCTGTGTAGTCTCAGATTAATGTCAAACGTTTCAGAATTGATGCTGGAGAATGGTGGTGTTGTGTTTTATACCTTAGCCATAAAATTCATCTTGAATGCTCCAGGTTTCAAATAGTTGAGCCACAGGATTGGTGAGGCCTCAATGTCAAGGAAAAAAAAATAAAAATAAAGGAAACAGTAGTCTTTGTATATCTATATAAACATACATACTTTGTATGTCTATATGTTATCTACTGATCATTCAAAAATATCACACATTACACATACATATAGTCCATTCTATAAACATACATTTTACATTTTATATATAATCCACATGCAGTATATAGCGTATCTGTTTAATCTGTGATATATAAGTGTGTAGCCTCTCAAACAATGAATGTTATAGATTTTTATATCTTCCTAGTCTCAAATTCTCAATAATGCTGAAACTGAAAGATGGCCGTCAACATAAGAGTGTGTTCTGCTATCCCTTCCTTTTCCACCCAGATAAACCGTCTGCGTAGTTTGCAAGAGAGGTGACCCAATCTACTGCTTTCTTCTGAGAAGCACTTGTGTATGGATTATATGGAGATTATGTTATTCAGTCAAGACATGAGTGCAGTCATAGGTGGAAAATATGTTGGTTAAGGGATACAGTGGCGGTAGATTCGTGTTTCAGTTTTTGAAGTTTTCCCTCACTCTGTTGGTTTGAACGAGTCGGTAAATTCCCCTGGGGCACAGTTTCCCCCCTGTAAACGAGCTAACATGGCCCATTTACTTGCTTTTTCAGGTCACTGGAAGTAATGAGATTGTCTGTTGGAAATGTTATTTTTATGGACTGGGAACAGTCATTCCTGTTTTAGGTGCAATTGCTGAAAGTTGAGTCCAAAATGAGAGGAGAATTTTTTTGTCATTTAGATTAGCATGAAAATTTATGAAGCTCGGTGTCTGTCCCGGTTTTGAAATACTTCTGTGGATTTCTCCAAATGGGGACCAAACTGTCCCCGGTCCAGCTTGACTTTCCCAGGGATTTTATGATCCTGGGACCTTGGTTAAGCAAGACAGGACCCGCCACTTTCTGGTCCCTAAATGTGACCTGTGCAGTAAAAGGTCTCATTCTCTGTGATCTTCTCAGCTACCTGGGAAGAGAATGGAGTCCCTCTGAATGCTGTAACGGCCATGTTTTTTCCAGGTCAAAGCAAGTATCAGGACCTTCGCTCCAAGAGAGAAGCGCTTTGTGGAAGACAGCCGCAAGCTGTCCAAAAAGGTAGGTGGCACCCACAACTGGCTTGGAGTCCCTTCAGCACCCAGGATCCAAGTATTTCTGGTTGTGGCTGGATTCTTTCACTTTGCTCTTCTCCCACTCATTCACCTGGACTCCTCATCCCCTCATTTCTTTCTCTTGTCTTCTCTCTTAAAATGGGGCTTCAGCCAGGTCAAAGAGGAGAGGCTTAAAACATATCCCTGGGAGGAGAGAGAGGGTGTGCGCCCTGCAGCGGGCCAAGCGGTTCTCTGAGCCTGAGTGTGGAGCCCAGATAACCTACATTTCCTTCATTTGCTTCATTTTGGTTTCTCCTTTCACAGTGAAAGGCAAAGGCTCTCTGTTTGTTCAGTGGATGAAGGAATTTCCCAAGGGACTGGGGAAGCTTCTAGCCTCAGCTTCACCCGTTCGCTCCCTGCGTCTAAATTTAGGCAGTGTGGGCATTTCACCCCATACTGAATTAACTAGCTCTCTTTTTGCCCACCACACTGAATTCCTTTCTTATCAGTTCAACAAAAGGTAAAGATCTAGGATGGGGGGCAGCGGGGCAGGGGGAGGAACTTCATATTCAAAAAGAAAACTCATGACCTTTGCATTTCTTTCTTCCGTGTCCCTCCCTGTCCTCTTTAGATAGAGTCCGGGATTTCAGGCAGGACCCATTGTTCCTCTCCAGTTGTGTAACAAAGAACAAAGTGTCCCCCCTTTAAAAGTGTTTATTACTTCCACAGCTTCCTCTGGGGTGAGCAGCTGTGCATGACACAAAGCAGTTAAATATAAAGTAATCTTATCTTCCTTTTGTTTCCCATGAACTTCTGCCCCCCCACCCCCGGCCCCCGCCCCACACCGAGGAAGGGACTTAGCAGTCTTCTGGTGGGAAGTAACTGGATGTTTTGTTCGGTGCCATAGCACTGAGCGCAATAATCATTGTGTGTAATCCGAGTAAAAGTCTCGTTATTATTATTTTTTTGTCTTTTGCTCTGTTTACTTGAAAGTTAAAACCTCAGTGGAGGTAGGCAGGGCGACAGCTTTGCAAGCAAATCAAAATACTGTGCCTCCCGCTGGGAGAAAAGAGATTTCCTTTACAAAATAACTTGGCCACTAGGGTGGCTTTGGCTTTGAGAGTAGAGGGGAAATCTGCGACTTAATTCCCTAGGTGGGTCAGGACCCTCCTCAAGTCCTGCATGCCACTGGGCTACGCTGGTCATAAAGTTCAAGTTCTTACTTACGAAACAAATACTTAAAACCAAGTCTGGAATTCTCACAACCACCTGTAAGGTTAAACACAATGGCAGTCCTTTGGGGGAGAAAGGTCGAGAAGTGTCCTGACGACTGTCCAGCTGGGAAAGGGAAGGCTGGGTGACCAAAAGGTCCCCTTTTGGTCTAACTAAGCTGTAATACTAGGGCTTTTCTACTGGTGTTCTCTCCAGTTGCAGCCGTACTAAATACCATCTTGACACTGATTTCCATTCGGACTCAATACTGCTCTTGGTTGCTATGGCTCTATACTTCTCTAGCTCCTTGCCACGCAGTGTACACACGTATACGTGTGCTCTCCCACGCCATGCACGCGCACACACGCAGCACTCACATCCACCAAATGCCTGGTTGCCGCAGCTCTCCTCTACCTGGTTTTGTACTGAACACTGTTCAAACAAGCTAGTTTTCATAAAAATGAGCCATAGCACAGATCGGAACTTCTTGTTCCCGATGGATGACAATATTTTGAAATAGTTTTAGAAGTACGAGGACTTCATCCTTTTTTAATGGGCACTGCGCATAATACAATTTAAACAGCCAGGACAGCTGGTCTAAGGGAACAGCCAGAGAATGTAAGTCTAATTGACCTCTCTGTTTTCCATTTTTTTTAAAAAAAACCCAGATCTTATCAAGAGATGCAGACAGGGTGAAAAAACTCACGATGGCAGTATGGAATACAATACAGTTCTTCAAAAGCTGCTTCCAGTGGGAGTCCACGCTGAGAAGTACAATAGCGTTTGTGGTAAGATTTTTTTCTTTGTAATGTTCACATTATTTGTATTTGTACCCATTCATCTCTCTAAACTATACTATAACATAGGTGATTAGCCTTTCGAAGATGTACCTAGGTAAAAGGAACCCATAAAAATTCTTTAAATTCTTCAAATACTGTTCCTATGTCATTTCTTTCTCAGCTCCAAAGAGCAGTGTCTGTATTTCTGTGACGTTATGGCGGCATATTTGTATAGTCTTTCAATGGTCTATACCATAATTGAGAAATACTCGTCTATAGGAGATACACTACTTTTCTCAGAACATTGGCCCATTCTCATGAGCATAATGGTATTATAGAGTCGGGGAGCTTTAAGAAATTGTCATACCTCCTGAGTCTGATACTGAGAGTCCATGGTCTTTGAAGAACATCCCGCTTGGCACCATAGCCTTTCCTGGCATCTCTCGGGCATTCTCTCCCATTTATAAAGAACTGGTCCTTAATCAACTTAAAAATATTGGCTGTGGAGAAGATACCTAGATTGCTAATGCCTTACATGTGTTTTATACCTGGTATGAATGCGAATTTCTATATGTTCTACATAGTTAAGAGATTGAAAGAGACTTTATCTATGTAATGGTCCAAGGCAAGTTGGGTTCTTCTGTCTTCTGTTGACAGAAAATCCTCCATGTTTTCATCTGTCTTGAAAGCTCAGCTTTAAGTTATATGATGTATATATCACATAAATATATTCATGAGAACAAACTGATATGGAAGTAAAATATAAACGTAGCTGTTATATATGTGTGTGTTTAAATATGAACCTAAGATATTAGTGCTTCATTGTGATCTCAAAGTTTTTTCCACATTTTTTTATATAATCAATTATGTTACCTCCCTAAGAGAATTTTTCTTTGCCAATGGGTAGCATTTTGATTGGTTTATTTTAATTTTTTTATCATTTCAGGTCATCTATGTCTTTGTTATTGGCCTGGCATTTACTTAGCCTTCTCTGGTTCTTACACCTTCCTTAGCTGCTGTCTTCATAGGTTGCTTTTGTAACTCCCCAGCTCCACTTCCTATCCAGATTCCCTTTCAAAACTTTCCATGGACTGTTGTGTACAATTATGGGCCTCAGAGGAAAGTGATCACAATTGGTGGCTGTTTCCAGCCAGCGCTCTGGCCAGCCGCATGAGAAGTAGAGGATTTCCCCCCTCTTTTTTTTTTTTTTTTCAGTTGATTTCTGGCCCAGAGACTTTAGAAAAACAGATCTGTTGCCCTGGATTCGGTAAGGGGATGACAGAAATGATTAATGGGCTGCTGGCCTGATCCAAAGAAAGATTAAAACAAATGAATGGAAACAGGTTGTCCAGCAAAAAGTACTTCTGCACAGGAAGGGAGTCTTGCCAGGGGGCCCCTCATCCACTGCCTCTGCCTTGGGTGAGCCCTCTCTGCTGGGCACCACCCAGGAGAAGATCCAGTACCCAGGTGTTAGAAACTGCAGTGATGTTCCCTTGTACCAAGGATCCCCATCTCAGATAGATGAACAACAGTGCTGTCCTGTCCTCCCTGGTTTTATTGAAGCCCAATGTACAAGGATACATGGCCTATGAGACCGTGGCAGGCCCTACTGTTTCTGTGAGTGGCATATTTCCTTCCAAACATCCCTGGGAAAACATCAGATTTCGTCACATATCCTGTGGAGTCAACTCGCTGTGCCCGGGCACTCCAGTTTCCCAGATCCAACCAGTTACAACTCAAATAATTTTTCAAAATTACATCTGCGCTCAACAAATACGGATGTTTCTCTTGTCTTTACTCGTACAGAATAGTCGCATAGCTATCAACATTTCATTTGCGTTTTGTTTTAGTTTATAAGCAATCTAGAAATATTTTATAAGATATGTATATGTTACAGTCCAGATGATGGCATTGGACATAAGGTGCTTGAGCTTCTGTGGGGTTGGGTGTCTGGAGGGTGGGAATCTTAGCACCAGAATCCCAAGTATAATGAGGGATTACTGTATACATAAACTGTATCACTTATCCTGAGTATAGTGCATTGAAATGCATTCACATCCAAAAGCTTATACCATATGTAATGCATAGTGATATCCAGACACTAAGGGGCAGATAGTTCCTGCCCCATTGCTGATGAAATAGAATTTTATTAGACCCTTTCTGTTACTATATACCACTCTTATGATTATCCTCGTATAGTTTCTGTTCTTTAAAATACAGGGCTATATTGAAATACACTTAAAAGACAGAATGAAGGGCATGTGTGTATCTGTTTGTGAGTGTGTGTGTGTGCATTTTACCCCCTCTTCTGTTGTTGTTTAAATTACATCGTGAGCAGTCACGCTCTCCTGGGGAGGCATGTTTTGTTCAAAGAGTATTCTGTAAACTTGCCGGTTGCCCATAGAGTTCTGCTGGAGCTACACACAAAGGGACTCCACTGGGCATGTTGCTGTACCCTTGAGTATATGGAATTCTGTCATAGATTGTCTATCAACTATCAGTAAGTTAGCACCTCAGCTAAGCTGAGCCAGAAAGATGCAAAGTTAAGAAAAGGCAGCTCAGCATTCTCTCTGTCTGGTTCTGCTTGCAAGGATGCTCTGTGTATCACCACTGGTACCCACCAATAGTTCTCCCAGGGTCTAGTTAGGGCAGGGCGCTGCTGCTTTTTATCATCCACCTGGTACTTCCCTCATGGTCCACCTGCCGGCTTGGGTGTTACAGTGGGGAGCAGCCTTGTAGGGGACTGAAGCAAAGGTTTAATCTGAGAATTTATTCACGAGCCAGATTGTATTGGAAGGTCCATATCTTCTATTGGAAATGAGGATGCGAGATGGCATTTGGCTACTGAAGGGCTGAATAGAACGATTTTGGTCCAAATATCTGTGATAGAACTTTCCCTGTCCCTGCGGGAGTAAAAATCAATGCTAGCACACTACATACTCAGGGAGGAAGGAAAATACCTTTTTCCTTCAGTTCGCTTGAAAAATAGTCTACTAACTTCTCATTCTTTCCTGTTCTTCCAGATGAGACAAGGCATGCGCATTGTGGGATTATATTTAGCATTTGCTGGCTATTAACGCTGAGTCTTCAGAGAAGCAGGCCTTGACATTTCCCTGGGATCCCTATGAGTGTATATCCATAGAACATCCCTTGTCGGAAGCTTCAGTTCAAAATTAAATCAGCGTTTTAAGATCTAAGTCCAGGGAGTATAATCAGAAGGAGATAGACAGATGTGGAAGAATTCATCATGTTAGATTATCTAAGTATAAGCCTGACTCATGGTAGGACTTGCCCCTTGATCCTGTGGGTGGTTGCATCCCTAACGCTAGGGGAAAGATGCGATCTTGAATACTTCCTGGTTTGTGCTGTGTCAAAATGGCTGTGCGATGTTGAATTCGTCATTGCAAAAAATCAAATCAAATTCAAATAGATTTGAGAGGGGAGAACATGGGAAGAGTAGTTGGAAGGAGGGACATCAGAGATATTTAAGGGAAGAAAGAGGGGGGATCACTATATTTTAATTTAAAATATATTTGATATAAATATTTAATTAAAATACAGTCTAACAATTAACAAATACAAAAACATATACTAAAACATGACTTATAAATGTTAAATTTTTATTTTTTGGGAAACAGTCAAAACATACAAAATCATGTTTTTCACCTCAATGTGTTTAGTTAGGCAGAATCTTTCCAAGAAAATTCTTATTCTGTCTTTAAAGATTTTCTTCCCTTTATGAACGTTTGCTAAATATTTTGGTGCATTGTTCTCTCTGAGCTTGAATTTAATTATAATTTGATTATAATTTAGCTTTATCCATGCTAAATTATATAATTTCCCTCTTCAGAAAGTTATGTTGTTGACTTTTCCAATTGAAAAGTCGATATAAGTGCTAAGTTATTGACAGACAGCAAATGCACCTGGAGTAAGGACTTCTGTCTGCATACTGCTCTATGAATTGATTTGTAAATATGGTATTTTTCCATGTACACATGGCTATACCCACACAGACCTTGACCTCTGGGGATTCTAAGATCAGATTCTAGCTTTCCTGACTGGATGTAGCCAGCCCAAGCCATGCTCAAATTTTAATTTTGTGAGTTCCCACAAAAGCCTGCAGATGTAGATGAAAAACTGGGCCCACTTTTGCCCAGGTGAAAAATATGAGCCCACACAGTAGAACGCTGATGCTCACGTGTTTTCAGGAGGTAAAGTGGAGACTGACTCTCATTAACAGGGACCTGCTTTATTCCAGGGCTTCTCCTTGCCATTGATCTTCATGAGTCAAGGCCACTATTGTCTTCGGGTTTATATTCTGTCTCTCGGAGAAAGTGTACAGATTATCACAGAAATGCCAGGACACTGTATGCATGGGGGCAGATGCCTCTTCCTAGGCACTGAGAGAACGATACCCACCTGGTTGGGATTAGTTCTCCATTGGTTCCTTTGTTCTGAGTGATGGGGCTAAAATTAAATAGGCTAGGCCTGTTTGGGATACCCTGGGAAACAATTCCAGCCTCAGTGATCACGTGACCTGCATCCACTTTGGAATCCATCTATGTAATCTCGGAGGCACTCATTTTTCTTAATCCCTGGTTGGAATGTTGGCTTCCTCTACTGTGGAAGGATAATCTTGGATGATTCAAAAGTGTTTGCAGAGAAAGCATAAACAGAGGCTGAGTCAAACTAACGGGTCATGACAGGAGCTTCTCCTTTTCGAGTTTTCTTTAAGATTTCAAGTTGTTAAAGAGATGGAACAGACAGTTATTGTAGACAGTAACAAAGGCCTTCATGTTGTCTTACAGAACCAGTAAATAAGCCGGCATTTCTGGTTTAATCCCCATTATGGCTTTATGGTAGTATAGCATTTGATAGTGGGTTAACTCACAAAAATACTTTTGCATTGTGATATTATATAGTATACTGTAGAATCAATTATAAATATGTGATTTTTTTCTGTATAGATTTATGTATTATCTCAGGACTCTGTTAAATGATATGAGGTT